AAGGCCATTGACATAGCCAGTGCCCTCAGAGTGAGCTTGCAGTTTTTGAGGAAGCATAGTTCACACTATTTTGTATGCAGTCTAGATGCAGGAAGTTATCCACCTGGAGACTGTCTGCAAAAAGAGGGCTTGTCCCTTCTTCCAGTCTGCATATGACAGACAAGGCAAAGCACAAAACTGTTTAGTCCTGTCCAAGTAAAAGGTGAGGCAGTGCCTGACCTTCAGTGAATGAATATGCTGCTTCTCCAGGGTTTGTCGGTCTGTGGCTTGGGACAGAACACTGGTAGATATGCTGCTTGAATTCAGGTGAAATTGAGTCATTACTTTACATAAAACTCTGTGTGGCTGCAAGGTCACTTTGTCCTTGGACAGCTGAGTATAAGGAGGCTCTACCATCACAGCCTGCAACTCATGGAGGTCATAGCCACCAGGAATGCAGTCTTTTGACACAGTAGTGGAAAAAAATATGCCAAAGACTCAAACAGAGGTCCCATCAGAGCTGCTAAAACTGTATTGAGGTCCCACAAACAAAATGGTTCTCTCACGGGTGGGTGCAGACGAAGGACTCCTTTCAAGAACCTTGCTACCATGGCATTCAAAAATAACAACCTCCCCTGGATGGAAGGGTGAAATGCCGAAATTGAAGCCACGTGGATCTTCAAACAGACTGAGTGCAAGATGTAACAAGTATACCAAGATGTCCTGAATTCCAGTCAACATTGGTTGAACCCTGAGGGCCGATGACCACACTGAAAAACATTCCCATTTGGCCAAATAGGCCAATCTGGTGAAGGGCTTCCTACTATTAAGTAAAACCTGCCACACAGCCTCCAAACATTGTTCCTATTCCTCATTTAGCCATGGAGGAGCAACACAGTGAAATAGAGAGACACCTGAGTGCAACATGCAAGCTCTGACCATATTGCTGGTCCTGGGCAGTGGGAACCAAGAGAAGAGGACTGTTAGGATATAGATATTCAGGCCTGTCTGCAAAGGCCTGTACTTTAAGAATTTAGGTGTATTCTTATCACTTGGCTAGTTCCAGAGGTATAAAAGAAAGAATCAAAACCACTGTCTGCCAGTGTAAGGGCCTTCTCTTACTGTGACAGTTTGTGGCCCTGTGCTTAGGCTCAGGCCTTTGGCTAAGCAGCAGAGGCAGCCATAAGCTGGGAAGCGAACGGTCACATCCTCACATTCCAAACTAGTCACATTGAAATAAGGTGCTATTGGGCTGTTAGGCACTATCAGGACAGGATTGTATTCCTATCACCTCCAGAGAAAGGGAAGTGCCTAGAAAATGTAAAAGGAAACTTAGTTTGATAGCATCCTGTCTGGCAAGAACTCACTTATCAATAGCTGGGATGTGAAATCCTCACTTCTGTGTTGTCTTGTCATTGTAGTTCCCACTTTGCTATTGTTTGTCTGTATAATCTCTGTCTGGTTCTGTGATTGTTCCTGTCTGCTGTATAATTAATTTTGCTGGGTGTAAACTAATTAAGGTGGTGGGATATAATTGGTTACATAATCATGTTACAATATGTTAGGATTGGTTAGTTAAATTTCAGGAAAATGATTGGTTAAGGTATAGCTCAGCAGAACTCAAGCTTTACTATATAATCTGTAGTCAATGAGGAAGTGACGGGGTGGGGGTGGGGGTGTGGGTGGGCATGTGGGTGTGTGAGATGGGAACAGGGAATGGGGGTAAGAAAATTGGAATCATGTTTTGCTAAAGGGGGAAATGGGAACAGGGAATGGGAGTAAGGAAGTTGGAATCATGTTTGGCTAAGGGCAGGAATGGGAACAGGGACACAGGTGTAAGGCTCTGTGGTGTCAGAGCTGGGAAGGAGGATACTAAGGAAGGAAACTGGAATCATGCTTGCTGGAAGTTCACCCCAATAAACATCGAATTGTTTGCACCTTTGGACTTCTGGTATTGTTGCTCTCTGTTCATGCGAGAAGGACCAGGGAAGTAAGTGGGTGAAGGAATAAGCCCCCTAACAAGGACACCCTGTCATACATTGTTCTGTCCTGTACACAACCATATATCCAATTGTCCTCAGCCACATTTGGAGAGGGCCAAGATGCAGCCTGACAAACTGGACTAACTGCGTGCATGCAGCCATGTGACCCAACAGTCTTAGGCACATTCAAACTGTAGTTGAAGGCTGAGAGTGCAGTTCCAGACACAGATGAACAATCACCTGAAAACAGATCTGCGCCAAGGCAACACCAGTGACAAGGAATGTATCATTCCTCAGTTCCAGACCTGGCACCAGTCTCAACTCTGCAGTCTGTGGCAGGGGAGATTAGGCTATGTTACCAACAGCCACTGAGGTTCTGCAACATATCCAGATGGTGCCAATGAGGTTGTGGATGTCATGAGTGGGGAATCTGGAACTGATAGGCAGAGTAGATCCACTGCCACCTGGTTGCATGTGTAAACTGTGACATAGATGTCATTGGTACAGACTCAACGGACGTTCCAGGGTCGGAACCAGAGTACATGGTATGGGACCCTGCGTGTCTACACGGTACCAGGGAGTGATTTGAAGGAACTGTTCCATCCCACTTGCCAGCAGTAGCATGGCACCCATCTGCACTCTTCTTAGACCAAGAGGAGTCATCACGAGACTTATAGTGATCTCGATTGGTCTTATGAGACTTTTTCCTTGGCACCTTCAAGGAGGGGAACAGCTTCTCCATCTCTAGGGGGAATTGCCAGCCCCAGAACATGGAGCACCATCCTACACCAAGTCTGAAGGTGCCCAATGATCCAACGTGGACCTCAGTACTGAAACAGGTCTCATGGCTTGCTCAAGGAGGTGCTGCTTTCAGGAAAAGGTCTCTAGCCACCTGAGTCTCTTTAGTGAAGGATTTACAAATCAAACACTGCTCCTGGGCATGATCCTGGTCCAAATGGAGCAAATACTTCATGTGAGGATCATTGCTGGGGATCACACACCCCCTCAGGGCAGACAGGGTTTGAACCATGGTGAAAGCATCACTCAGGGCAAAAACAAACTAACTACTTTCAACACTAGAGTGACTAATAAACAACTACACGAGAAAACCTCAGCACTGAGAAGGGATTGAGGGGAAACCAGAGGGTCGATTCCAGCCACAGCGGTGAGAAGAAACGAGGGGGCGGGGCAGCAGAGCCGGAGGGGGAACGAAACCGGGGGGAACTCCGCTCAGCACACGGACCAGACCGGCGCCTTGAGAAGAACATTTCAAAATGTGACGCTTTTTTCTAAAAATGTATGTCTTGCATTGGCCCAGACCTTCACCTGTAGTGTTCTGTTAACTATTTTTCACTTATAGAAGTCCCCACAAACCAGGATCCACCAACCCAAACCAGCATCAGACCCTGTCAGAACAACAAATCCAAAATATGCAGATGTATCTCCACTGTTATAATGATCAATACCCCCTACAACACACCTTTCATCATCAATAGATCCTACATTTGCCTATCACAGCATGTGGTGTACCTCATTCAGTGCATTAAATACCCTAACAATTATTATGTGGGGGAACCCAGACAATCACTAGAGTCTCAAATGAACTCTCACAGAAAAATTATAAAAGACAAAAACATCCTATCACCCATGGATGAACACATTTCACAAAACAATGTCTCCATATCAGACCTCTCAGTCCTCATCCTCAAAAGAAACCTGCACAACACTGTCAAAAGATGAGCCTGGGTACTTAAATTCATAACTCTGCTGGACACTAAAAACATGGACTCAGAGATGCTGGTTTTATGGCTCATTACAATAATTTGTAATTGTAACATACCTTGCTGCCTACTACTCTCCTTTGTCCCACTATTGCAGAGGTGTTGATTGTCCACATCATTTTAAGTGGTATCCTACAACATGTGTGAACCCCATATGCTTAACAATCTGTCCAACTTTGTACTTAGGTTGGCCAGTCTGGTCTACCTTCCCCAGACCTCAGGAAGAGCTCTGTGAAGTTTGAAAGCTTGTCCCTTCCACCAACAGAAGTTGGTCCAATAAAAGAAATTAGCTCAGCCTCCTTGTCTCACTTATTTTGAGATACTTTATTCATTGAAATGGTGGCAATGAGGAAATAAACTTTAAAAGAAAATATAAGGATTGTATTTCATGGTCCAAAGGGCAGAAGAAAAAAATATTGGTGCATTATATTAAAATGCCACTTAGGTCAGGTCAATTCAATAAAGTACCTAAGCACGTACGAAATTTTAAGTGTCAGTAATCCCACTGTTCGAGTAACATAACTGTGCTTAAAGCTACCTTAAGGCAGCACCTGAAAATTTTCCTACTTTAGGGGACTCCTTAACAGCTGCTGTTCCTCTTGGTTGGGAGGTTGTCAGGAGCAGGGCTAGAACACAATGCACTTCAGCAATCCTAGCCAATGAAGCATCATTTATAGAGCAGTTATTCATTAGCACAAGTTAGAGAAGCTCTAACTTGTACCAGGAAGCAATTCAGCCACCAGCAGCCTCCAAAGGCAGATCAGGTGGGGACTCCCAGGTGTGTCAAGCAGTGCTCTGGAAAAGCTGAGGATCTGGCCCAAAGTATATTATACTTACACTTAATTAGATCCAAATAAATCCTATTTTTGCTTCTCTGGTTGCATTAATGTTTAAGGCTGGATGATATTTTGGAACATATTTTTGAAGGGGATATCTTTCTTCAGGTAGGAACTTGAACAGGTTGACTATTTCTTCCTGATCATCATAATTTTACCTTTGCCAAATTCTTAGCTTTGTGAGATTTCTGTGAAAAAAAAGATTTTCTCTCTCTCTCTCTGATATAGCTGTAGGAAGTATTAATTAAAACGTGTGTTTTGTGTGTCTGAAAGCAAAAAAGGACTTAATGTTTTCTAGTGGGGATGTATCATAATATTTTATACACAGCATTACAAGTTTTTAATACTACTGGATAATTTGGTTTTCTGACCACCATATGTAAAAGTATTATTATCAGAGTTAAAGAGTCTCAGTTTCCTACCTGTTTTTTAAAAGCTGCCATGGCTTCTTTGTGTTGTTTGTTTAAAGTTTCTGTCTCATGCTGCAGAGTTTCCTGTTCAATGAAAATACTTTAAATTAGGTCAAATTATAATGTGCTTTAAACATGACTCTTACTATACCCTTTCAGTAACAGAGAACTAATATTTTAAGAAAAAATATTGCCATTTTGATTCTTTCTTAAGTAGGTTCTAGAAAAAAATGAATAAAATAAATTACTTAGTAAAATTGAAGATCTTGAATGAGAAGTGTCTTTTCTGGTAATTTTCTTTCTGCTAACAGCTTCTCTCCTAATTCATAACAAATAGATAATGCCTCTCACCTGTGGAATTTTGAGACAGTCCAGAGTTGCTGCTGGAGCCTTACTCCTTACCACAGGCCACCAGAAAAGTTCTTCCAAAGCTGTAAAAATACTCCAGCAACAAATTATTAGTATTAAGACAACAATTTGAAACTGTATTAGCTCATTTGAAGGGAATTTTATGTTTATGTCTCCCATTTAGAGAAAATTTTCAGTTTGTTACAAATTGTATTCTGATAATTTACCAGACTACCAGAATGGATTAAACAAAGAGAGTAGTTATTAGCAGAGAGTACTATTAGGTAAAAAATTTCTCATTGTGCTGCACAGCTTGGGAAGTAAAGGGGAAAACATAATATTAACTTAAAATGTTGCCTATTACAATAGAATAATAGGCAGAAATGTAAGTTCTTCTACATAAAGTAAAAGCTTTGTAATTTAAGGGATTATCTGGGAGCCTACCCACTATTACCTTCCTACCAAAGGATTACATCAATGAATGACATTTCTATGTTGAGTTCTGTCTGAACACAAAATGAATAAAAAATAAAGTTGTAAAACAAATTAGTTGGGAGGAACAGAAGTGCCAACTTGCTCTCCCACCAGAGGAAGAATTTCTGGTAGCACACGGTGAAGAGTGAGGCTTAGTCCTGAAGTCCCCAGCATCAACGACTCTAGGTCACCTCTGAATTCCACTGGTGAAAGGTATTACCCATTTGTTATGAATATGGAGAAAAACTATGTAGGAGAAAGGTAATATATTTTATTAGTCCACATATTTATTTGTTCATAATATGATAGATGAAAATTTGTAAATTCTAGGGCTATCTAAACTCTGATGCACAATACATACCACATAAAAGGATATTGAAAAAAATATACAGCCATTCATAAAACAAAAATCAGGAAAAGGAATTTGAACTCAACAAAAAGAATGATTCCTTAGCCTATGGTTATTTGAGATTTTGTAGCCAGAACCACACGCTTGTCAAAAGTTCATTTTGATATTGGAGTTTAAGGATTAAAATCAGTGAATGAGCAAGGATCGTATGAAGATCTTGACAGAAAAACCCTTGAAGAATTATGCTTACAGAGGGGGCTGACTTTTAGGAAAAAAGCCCCAGAGCAAGAACTGAAAAAATCTGTTATTGGTCAGTGATCAGGAAGCAGACCCAGTGAAAATGCTTGCAGTGAAAAACCAGCAGCAACTTGAACATGAACAAAAGCTGATAGATCTTCGATTGCAGTAAAAGCAAAAGAAAGCTGATATGGAAAAAGAAGCCCATTTAAGGCATATGGAACGGCTGGCTACTGAGGAGAAGGCTCACCAGATGCAACAGGAATCTGCCAGACTCCAGCTCCAAGTCTTGGAAGAGCTACAACCTGGAAATCCACCCCCTTGTGACAACAAAAACTGAGAAAGAATTTGTCCCATTTACAAAAATACTGAAGACAGAGGAATTTCTATCTACCTGTGAACAATTATGTGAAATTCACCATATCCCAAGGTATAGCATATGCCTGTCCTGCTGACCAGATTCACTAGGAAAGCTAGGGAGGTGTTCAATGAAATGAGTATGGATGAAGCTTTGAATTATGTAGTTATGAATTATGGAGTTCAAAGAAATTATAAATTCTGCTAACTAAAAAACTTCTAAGGAAGAAACAGTTTAAGCAAACAGGGCTTGAATAACTCCAAACACACTGTTGATATCTTTACACAGTTAAAACTAAAGATACAAAGAAGTGAAAAAGTTAAGGATTAGGTTTTCATAATTGTTTGTGCACAATTGCACAATGTACTGCATGTACGGTTACTACAACTGAACATTAAATCATTAAATTGTGTATGCAAACTACCACTTTAATGTCTAACTATACATTTTTACGCATAATCAACAACTGCAGAAGTAAATTATGCATTTTTGCATACAGTTATGAAAAACTGGCTCTATGGTTCCAACAGAAACTTGACTGCATTGCTCTTTGTACTATCTTCTATTCCTCGTTTTTTATTGAATTCATACCCCACTGTTCTTATCACTAAATGCATACCATACACACAAAAATACTTTTTATTTCTGCCTCTACAATAAATTTATGATGGATTTTCAATATATCACATATTTCTTCTCTTGGTTGTTTCTAACAAATTATGTATTCTTTTTATGCAATGCAAGATTTAAACTATATTTTAATAGATTGTTACTGACTTAATTTAAATTATTTCATGTGCTAGAATAATATGATTTTCCACATCAGAGAAAAGTGTGTGCTTATGTAAACAGTAAAGGTGATGGTGTTTCTGTTACACAACAATAGCACAACTAACCAGGATGGATAGAAACTATCTCTGCAGTATTCTTAGCCCTCGACAGGTGAGAGAGGGACTGAGCTCAGGACCCAAACTAATAATCTTCACATCACAGTGCACAAGACCACACTGACTACCACCTTCTTATGCAATTTCTGTGACAAAGTTTTGTAAAGATGGTCCTATTGGAAGCTAGGCTTCAGTGTGGGATTATTAACAGGAATTGTTAGATACTATAAGAACAATTGTGCCATAAATATCAAATAAAATTGTACATAAGTTGCTAACAACACATTTATCTTTCTTCCATTCCTATATCCAACTATGACCTTGATCATTCAATTGTGGAGGTAAAGAAATGTGGTAACTTAGAATATGAACAGTTGATTTTCTTTGTGAGGTGAAAAGAAGCTCATAAAACATAAGAACGGCCATAGTGGGTCAGACCAAAGGTCCATCTATCCCAGCACACTGTCTTCCAACAGTGACCAATGCCAGGTGCCTGAGAGGGGATGAACAGAACAGGTAATCATCAAGGGATCCATCCCGTCACATCATTTCCAACTTCTGGCAAACAGAGGCTAGGGACACCATCCCTGAACAACATGATTTACTTGTAACCCTTGAAAAAGACTCACTCTTTTAAAATGATTCCAAAACGCATTCTTTGAATTTTATACATGGTCCTTAAGACAAGATGATGGAAAGGATAGAAAACTGCACACAGCTCAGCCATTTTGTCTAAATTCTGTGAGAGGCTCTCATACTCAGACTTTAAGGTCAGAAGGTACCATTGTGCTCATATAGTCTGACCTCCTGCATGCTGCAGGCCACAGAACCTCACCCACCCACTCCTAAAATAGACCCCCTAATCTCTGTCTGAGTTACAGAAGTCCTCAAATCATGGTTTAAAGACTTCAAGTTACAGAGAATTCACTATTTACACTAGTTTAAACCTGAAAGCGACCCATGCTACAGAGGAAGGTGAACCCTCTCCCCAGTCCCGCAATGTCTCTACCAATCTGACCCCAGGGAAAATTCCTTCCTGACCCCAAATTTGGAGATAAATATGACATATCTGAAGATACGAGACAGAAGAGGCCTCATTAAGGTGCTCACGGATTAGATTAAAGACTGTAAGTAACCTGTCAATACCTCCTTAATATAAAAAGGAGAAATATCTCTAAGTAGTAAAAGGACTGATCTACTACATGGGTGACTGATTAGTGATAGAGTTCTCAGCCCCAATTCTGTGTGGTAGAACTTATGGGACCCAGATCCTTGATATAACCTCATGAGTCCTAACCCTAAAAAGAATGTTAAACCCATTTTATTCAGGCTTCATCCTGGAAGTGTAAATGCTACCAAATCACTTCTGGACATGTATAAACATGTAACTTATTGCTGAAAATAAATTTCATTTGGATTTTCCCCCCAAAAAATATTGAGTGAATTTGTTGTTCCTGAAACCATGATAGCATTAGCACTTGCTAAAGCCAGGCATAGTGCAGACAGCTATTGTATTACCTCCCCTATATAGTTCTGTCAAGACACCTGATCTGTGAGATACAAAACCATTATTTCAAGTTCTACATCTCTCTTAGCAAAAACTTCCAAGCATACCAAATTTTGTGATATTTTAAACAAAATTTCACATTTTTAGAAACCTGATGACAGCTACCATATTGCCAAAAATAGTATGAGCAGTATGGAAGATCATTGTCAGATCCAGTTGCCCTCATGCTTTAATACTGATATGACTATAAGCTAAAAAAAATTAACATTCAATTGTATCTAATTCCGAACACCATTAACACCCCATTAAATGAAATTCTAACAGCTAAATACTAAAACTACCAGGCTTATAGAAAAATTACTAACCTTCTGCCACTCAAGTTCCTGTTTCTCCATAATAATTTTATTAATTTGATCTTCATAATTAATTTCAGCATCCTAGTTTTAAAAAATAAAAAGGTAATTATCCATGATTTTAAACACATAAGAACCATAAGTAAAGACAAGTTACATACCAATACAATTAGTGTTGTTTTGCTCTTCTATTTTTCAGCTACAGTTCAATATGTAGAATAGTATGTTTCTATCCACCAAAAAGCAAGGAGGTCAAAATACCATTAAACCAAGACTATATACATACACATGGTACAAACAGTAAACATGTTCATTCTCTTCAGTCAGAAAAATCACAGCATGAATGAAATAAGTAAGGGTTGACAGGAAAAGATGCAAGATTGGGAATTAGGAAAACAATTAATTTAATTATCAGTAAGTAACATTTCCCTTATCATACCTATCCTCTTCATCATCCTACCACAAACCGAAAGAGAGAGTCAGAGTGAAATAGAGCAAGATAGGCTTGTCTTGAACTCATGCTTGAAAAACCTTTATGACTAAATACTCTGATGAGACCAATCCACAACACTGAGATGAGACTAAAACAACATCATGTAATGAATGTCTGACGAATCGATTTAGTAAAGGTTAGCTACAGATAAACATGGTTAATGTCTCTGCCCATAAAGTGTTAAACTTCAGCTCCTTCAAGACGTCTTCCAAAATAAAACTGAAAGCTTCCTTCCAACAGTTATTTCTGTTATTGTGGCCATACTTGAACAATACTTTCTGAAAGTATCTTAGCTACAGGAAGAGATAATCAAAACAGAATCTTTGTTAGGATGCTGAGCAAAACCTTCGAAAGAAAGGTGGAATATTTATCAACATCTTGGACCAAGAAGCTTTTGTGCCAATCAAGTGAGAACAAAAAAGATAAAGAGAAGGCAATAAGTGTACAAAGTAAATTTAGTCATGCAGTCAGGAAGATTATCCTAAAGCAAGGCCTGGTAGCCACAGATATCTAGCCCAAAATGGAATTAACACATGATCTTTGCCTTTTCCTGCTTCATAGACTGGAAAAAATTCACAATAGATAGGCAGAGGTGGGAAGATATATGTCAATTCCCCAATTTTTACAAAAGCATCTGCCTAAGGATCAAACAACTACTGTGGTAGCAAAAGATACCTTTGCTGACAGTTTATTATGGTTGCCACCAAGTTATAGGAGATCTCCTGAAATATTTAATATTAAAGTGTATTTTTCCTAACTGAAATCAGCTCCCTTTTGCTAAGTCAATATGCACATGCGCTTCCCCTGCAAATATAAAGCTCAGAGAGAAGAAAAAAAACACAATTTTGTCTACTGGCAGAGGGTCATGATTTCCAGCAAGAACTGATCATTTACTGGTGACCTTGTATGTTGTGGTAGACTACTCATTACTGTCCTGGTATTGCACGTGACCAAGACATGAAGATGTTTAGAGATGCTTAAGGAGCTATGTTGAAATGTAGTTCTAAGCACCAAAAGGTTAATGGTAAGCCTTCTCTCTGCCATTGATCATTGTCTTAATGAGGAGAATACCATAAGATAAGATCCCCCTCTTAAAAGGATAGCTACACTTGTTATATTTGAGCCTCTGTGTGGGATACATTCTAGCAGTAGTCAAACTGAAAAAAGATAGAGGTGTTTTTCCAAGCTCTGCACACAAAATAAGCTCTCGCCACTGAGCCACTGCTCTTAGTAGATCGTGTAGATGTTCAGTATATAACTACATGCACTCTCTGAGCTTCTTGAGCTTGGCTGTTCCTTGGTTGGTTTTAGATGGCCTGCTAGGTTTCTTAGGCTTGGCTCCTTCCTGATTGGGGACAAAAACGTAAGCCATAATATTCTCCCAAAACCACGAATGAGGGATACCAAAATGAACTGTCATTTAGACTAAATTGTATAGATCTTCTTTTCTTTCTAGGAAGTGAAATAGTTAATAATGTTGGCAGTTAAACTATTATAATCAGGCATCTAAACTAACACCCACTGAGATGAATGGGGCAGTTCACACTTCAGAACTATTTCAGGATCTCTACAAACTTAGACATCAATGCATGTTTGCTCTTGGGCTTGTTTTCAAGGTTTTCTTCACAACTATAAAGGCTAGAGATTTACTTATTTTTATTAAATGAAGAGAATAAGAAGGCAGTCTGAGAGAGGTGAAAATACACCCTATCACTGAATACCAGAAAAATTTGAGATCTGCATTCTAACAAAATAAAGGTAGTCCTGTGATGGCCACAACCTAAATCAGCCCTAACAGTTGGGATAATAATGGGCATATCCTCCAGGGACAGCAGACTATGATAACTTCCAAGAGAAACATCTGTGGAGGCCTCTGGTGAAATCCTAAATTAAAGCAGGTCTAAAAATACATTACTTTCCTGAGATCAGTCTAGGTGAGGGTTTCTATTGACTTGCAATACCCTAGTAAAACCAGTAGTATTTTCCATGCAAATTTGCCTTTGAATTAAACAATATATTTACAATAGTATATTAACATATCGAGGGTAGGATATATTGAATCCCTGCTGTTTTGGAAACAATGATATTTGATTAATGGCTGTTGTTACCCCCCCCCAAAAAGAGTCTTTGAACTATTATTCTACTATTATTTCTCATAGATATACATACTCTTTGATATCTTTTGATAGAAAATATATATGAGTTTAGCAGCAGTAGTATTTGTTGTTGTCTTGATAGATTCATAGATCTGAAATATCCTGTGAAGATTCATATGCTAGAGCAGTGGTTATCAACCAGGCGTATGTGTACTCCTGGAGATACGCAGAGGTCCTCCAGGGGTATATCAACTCATTAGATATTTGCCTAGTTTTACAACAGGCTACATAAAAAGTACTAGCAAAGTCTGTACAAACTAAAATTTCATACAGACAGAATGAAAATGTAAGCAATTTTTCAGTAATAGTGTACTGTGACACTTTTGTATTTTTATGCCTGATATTGTAAGCTAGTAGTTTTTAAGTGAGGTGAAACTTGGAGTACACAAGACAAATCAGGTTCCTGAAAGGGGTACCGTAGTCTGGAAAGGTTGAGAACCACTGTGCTAGAGAAAACCTCCCATGCATGGTGTGACCCGGAGAGCTTGGGGTAGCCCTCACTGGAAATGCCAAGGTCAGGGCAGACTGCAAAAAGGAGAGAGATATTCCCAAGATTGGTAGGTAACACTGAAGTTAAACTCCCCAAACAATCACAAATTGTGCTTCTGATCCCCACACTGGTTATCAAGAAGCAAAAAAAGAAAATTGCACAGACACCCTTATTGCATTCCAGTTCTAGCTTTTTGCATTCTTGGGCAGCTTTTCTTCTCTCTTCAGCTTCTTTCTCCAGCCAGGCCAAGAACTGCTTCTCTTGCATTTGAAGCTCTACCATTTCTCTCTTATATTGTAGGTGCTGGCTCTCTCTCAGGGCTTCAGTTTTTATTATGGATCGCTCACTGTGACTAACTTTAACCTTTAACACACTCAGTATCAAAATTTCAAAGTTTGGAATAGCATGGGGTTCTGATCCAAACCCAAATGATCTGGTTCTGTGGATCCTGCCAACTATGCAATGTGACCCTGCGTAGCCCTCACTGGAAATGCCAAGGTCAGGCAGGCTGCAAAAAGGTGAGAGAGACTCCCAAGACTGGTACGTAATACTGGAGTTAAATTCTCCAGCCAGTCACAAACTGTTCTTCTGATCCCCACACTGGTTATCTAGAAGCAAAAAAAAAGTTCTCTGGCTTCCAATCAGCACCTAGGTCCAGTATAGTGAGAAGTTATTTTGAAACTCTGCTCACATATACAAAATGTTCTTCTGAGGGCCAGCCATGTTACCAGGTCAGTATAGACATGGATCTTACCCAAAATACCATGCTGCCAGCCAATCCTTTAGTGCCTAAAACTAAAGGTTTATTATAAAGAAAAAAGAAAGAACAAGAAGAAAGTTGTTAAATGATAAAGCAGCTACATACATACAAAGATTTCAAAGTCCATATATCAGGTTCTTAGCCATACTGGTGAGTTTGATGGCTTGAAAGTCCCTCTGGAACATATCCACAGATGGGTCATTCAGTCCTTTGTTCAGAAGAAAAGTTACTCCAGAGGTAAGAAGCAGCAATAAAAAAAAAATGGAGAAGATGCAGCTGCCTTTTATAGTCTTTTGCCATGCAGCTTGTATTTCCTTTGTTCCAAACACAATTTGCCCAGCCAGTGGTAGGTTTAGAGTTAGTGGGGCCCTGTGCTCAGCTTCATCTTTGGGGGCCCTCCTTGGGACTCAGCCAAGAAAGAGAACATTCTCTCTTATCTCCCCTGCCCCCATTTTTCATTCTTTTTTTCTTCATCCTCCTCCTATAAGTAATAGCAAGTAAATGAAAATAAAGTGAGGTACCTTGATTGTTTTTGTAGTCTAACTCAGTGGTTCTCAAAGCCGGTCCGCTGCTTGATCAGGGAAAGCCCCTGGCAGGCCGGACTGGTATGTTTACCTGCCGTGTCCGCAGGTTCAGCTGATCGCGGCTCCCGGCCAATGGGGGCTGCGGGAAGTGGCGCGAGCCAAGGAACGTGCTGGCCACCCTTCCCGCAGCCCCCATTGGCCTGGAGCGGCGAACCGCAGCCAGTGGGAGCCGCAATCAGCCGAACCTGCAGACGCGGCAGGTAAACAAACCGGTCCGGCCCGCCAGGGGCTTTCCCTGAATGGGCGGCGGACCGGCTTTCAGAACCACTGGTCTAACTTATTTTTCCACAGACCACCTGAAAATCGCTGTGGGTCTTGGTGGACCACTTAATGATCTTTCCAAATATTGTTTGTACCGTTAGCTAACTATTGTAAAGCACTTTGGATAAGAGTACTTTATAAAAAAAAATGTAAAAAAACATTGGGTCCGGGGTCTGGCCAGGACTTAGGGTGTGGGAGGGGACTCAGGGCTGGGGGTGTAGGGTCTGGGAGGGAGTTAGGGTGCAGGCGCAGGCTGTGGGGGTTGGGGTGCAGGATCTGGTCAGGAGTTTGGGTGAGGGAGGGGGGCTCAGGGCTGGGGCAGGGGGTTGGAATGTGGAGC